TCATTCCTCCCTCCACATAAGAAAGGGACAAGCAGACAGACAAGTAGACAAAGTGACAGGACTGTCAGAACAGGAAGCTCAATAAAAGGTGCACAACACAGTATATACCTAAAAAAATAAGCGCTTCTTGCAGTTGCTTTTTCTCCAACTCTATGATGGGTGTGTGAACTTTTGCCTCATACACCTTTCACCTTCTGTAGTTCCGTAAAAGGTTCTTTTTCCCTGCCTCATCCCCTGGTTAAGTAACATCGCTGATGCTGGGCTCAGAGACGGCACTAGTAGTTATGGGTTTATACTGTACATGCTATGGAGATGGCAGCCAGTACTATACCAAAAGAAGGTAACTTGAGTTAGATGCAGAGCAGTAGAACATTTGAGGAGCGTCAATGTGTTTTGCTCAAAGTTTTTACACCCATGTTGGCTAACAGTAGTAGCAAGACTCTTTTAGTTGATGTCAAGGTTGTGCAGAACAACCTGAACCACTTTGGCACAGAGGAAGCCCATAGATACCTTTAGGTTTTCTTCTACGCATGAATTGAGAATTGGATCCCGGAAACTTCACTGATTCCACAAACAACTTCTGAGGGTTCTGCAGCATCAGAAGAACTTGCTTCCATCTCTGCTACAAAGGAAACCAGAGAACCCAGTGAAAAACAACATTACAATTATATCTCTCTTCCTCCCACTTTTGTTGGGCACAAGGCATGTTTTTGGTGGAGCCAGAGATACTTGAGGGGATGAAAAAAAATCCGCATCATTCCTTCCCCCCTCTCATCCAGACATTAAATCAGTGCTGGAGTTACAGGAAATCTACACGCTCTTTATCCTTCCAGTTGGAATCAAAACACCAGTGTAAGAAATGTGGTGTTCAACAACTCTATAACCTTTTTTTCTGGGTTAAAACTCATGTAAAAACTAAACGTAATTGGCTGTTGAATCTATCTTTTGGGCTGCCACACAGTCAGATAATCAAAGGATAAAAAGCACTACTTGTGCTAACTGAATACAGGGCAAATTTTACTGACCCGCTATCGCCTTTAAAATCATACCAGATACCAGGACCTATAGAAAAGTAACTTTTCAATACACAAATTAATACCCGATTGTGAACTTGTCAGGCATCCAAGTTCCTGCTCCGGTACCTGGGTTACTGTGGAATCTGGGTTACTAAAAGCTCAGGTTGTCTGTCTTGCAGTTTGCAGACAGCATGGCTGTTCTAAGTGATGCTTCCGAAGCTGAAGGGCACAAATCTCTCCTGCTTGGGTTTCGTCCAGGTAAAACCAGCAGGTCTGTTTGACCACAGCTTATCTGTAACAGAAAACAGTAAAGGAGAATGTTGTCTGTCTTCACCCCCTTGAAATATCAATTGATTGAAACATTGACATTTTGCTGCTGTAGTTAGGCTAGAAGCTTTCACGAGTTAACAATGGCGCTTTTGCTTGAAATACCCAGGAGTCCAGAGCAGAAATTACAGCTGTTTCGAGCTTTAAATGTTTCAGATTTCTCATGCACATAATCACGTTAAGTTTTTCCTGGGCGACACTGTATTTTGATTTCTTGTCTAGATTACGTAGGTGCCGTAGGACCGGAGGTGAACATCAGCTGGTATTTCCACCGGCTCTGGTGTGTTTCAGAGTAAAAGAAAATATTACAAGAATACTGCTCTAAAATGGTGAATCTGAGCTAGAAATAGCAGCTTAGAAATGAATCACACTCACAAATCAGGGTTTGCTCAGAAACGCCTGGCGAGGTGAGGGACGTGAAGAGATTCTAAGCGCTGGGAGCAATAAACGGTAATTCCTAGGAGTTTGCAATTGCTGCCAATTAAAAGGGCAGGGGGGG